TATATATGTATATATAGCTTTGCAAAAACACAAAACATACAACGGGATTTTCCAGTACAGAATAGCAATCGCTTTCAAAGCAAATTTGAAGGATTATTTATGAAAGTGTACTTTTTTGATCACTTAAAGCTAGATTATAATGATTATTTTAGTTTCTGGGATAGAAAATGCCAGTAAAACATTTTGTTTGACAAAAACCTAACTCAGTCACTCACTCAAAGAGAAAAATAAAGTTGATTTTGTCTTAATTATGTAAAACATTATAAAAAAATTTGATAAAAACTGTGTAACACATCTGAAGTCATTAAGGTTTAGTTTAAACTACATTTTAAAGAATAATTTGAATTATTTTCCACTTTAAACCAACATTTTTATTTTATTTCAGGACCTGATCGTCTCAGATTCTGCRGTTTCTGGATGCAGCTGATGGAGCTTCCAGGACCAGAGGTTTTGACAAACTGGCGGGCCTCAGGAGATCCAGGACTCCAGCCACTCCTCATTCCATCGCAGGGGGTGGAAGAGATCCAGGAAAAGATATCGAGGAGTAACTGTTTGGGAATTCACTCGGACAGGAAAGTAAACTGGGACAGGAAGTGGCTCCGAGCAGGAAGAACCTGGGCCTCCTCCTTTTCCTGCAAAGGTTTTCATCCATGTAAAATGGGTTCGTAATTGGTCAGAACCTTTTTGATACACGAAGATACACATTTGACCCAAAAACAGTGGATCGACTGGAGTTCTGGGGTGGAGCAGGACAAACTGTAGTGTATTTTTTCCAAATACAGTACTTATAATTATTTAGTTTTCTGAAAAGTTAGAGTTAAATCCTAGTTCCAATGCAAACATCACCCAAAAATGATGTTCCAAATGATAAGAGAGTAGGCTTTGATGCAAGTTTTTAAAAGATTTCTTTTAGGCCCCAAAAACAGCTGGCATTCCATAAACCTTTGAGTCAGCAGGTTCTGACGTTATCAGCCCATTAAATGGACGTTATTAGCGGTTATCAGTCCCATAGAATGGCTTCAGACTGTCCCGACAGTGCCCCCTAGTGGTTTAATATATCAATGGCAGTGAATGTGTAAATAACAAAAACACATTTTAATAAATTTTTTGTCTGGGGTGGGGGGATGTGGTTTTCTGGCTTCCTGTGCCTGGTCTCAGTCCTGGCTCTCCTACTCTGCGGTCCAGTGCTCTACCCATTGCCCTACGTTGGGCCTGCAACAATGGTCTATTTTATCGTAGCCCATGTCATTTTCTCTAAAATTAACCTTTATGCCTCATACTAGCCAGCTGACAGTGTGAAGCTATTCTATGGGACTGATAACCTCCATTTAATGGATGATAACATCCGAAGTGGGTGTTTGAGTCAAGGCAGTCCGTGTTGACTGATCTAGACAAAGGAATACTGCCTGATTTATAGTCGGCGTCTTCTCCTTCGGCCCTCCTTTCGGGTGGTCTTCTCACGGCGAGGTCRTCCGTTTTCCCTTTTTCCGAATCTTCTTGACTTCGGTTTTAGGTGTAATGTTTTCCCTCTACTCCTGAGCGCCCCTTAGTGGTCGCCCAATCTTAAAGCTTATGAACCAATTGTCTTCACTTTTTCACGACCCTAGGTTTTTACATGCTTAAAACTAAACTCTAAATTATACAGTTTAAAAAGAAAAGCACGTCAAACCATGTTTTAATTAATGCGTACAATGTTTCACGTGTTAGTCACAGTCTGCGTTTCATTTAGGTTAACGTACGTTTCAGCACATCAAAGATACATTTTACTTAAACAGCTTCAATTTAATACATTTCATGTATAGACATTTGATCACACAGCCTTTTTGAAGTGTCCACTCGTAAATACGCTGCTATGATCTTCCCTCTTTGATTCTTAACATGTTAGCCGAAGTGCAGGTTTTTTCCATATAACTGATAGGGCTGTGTATTGGCAAGAATTTGGCGATACGATACATATAACAGAGGGGTCACGATACGATATATCCCGATATATTGCGATACTGTAAGCAAGGCAATATATTGTGATATATTGTGATTTTTTGTCCAAAAATTCTATTAAATAAAAACCTCACTGGAAAAAACAAAGAAAAGCTAATGTTTACTTACAATGCTAATGCTCTCTTACTCTCTGGCGCTTAAGAGGTAGAGGAGCCAAATGGCTGGCTCACTGCTGCCAACTAGTGGTCAGAGRCTGAACTACAACATAAAAATGAACGGCTGGCAAGAAGGTTGACGTTTTATACTTTAATTAAAAATCGATACAGGGCTTTAGAATATCGATACAGTATCGGGAAATGAAATATCGCAATATTTCAGTGTATCGATATTTTCTTACACCCCTAATAACTGATGGCCTCATTTGTCCGTTTAACAACAGATTCTCAAAAAAACCCCGGCGGGATTTTTCTTGAACCTGCTCTGGATGGGACTTTTCCATTGTACATGAATTTGGACCTTCTGCCGGGTTCGACAAACCACTTGTTAGTTCAAATGGGTTTTACCTCGATCTTTCTTTCTGGCTGAAGCTCACAGGCTTGAACACCTTTCAGGCTTCTGAGACACTACTGTCTGTTTCTGCAGGCAGCCTGGGACATGTTTTCATCTATAGTTCAAGCCTGTTGTATTTTAAATTACAGCATTTTCTATTGATTCATCCTTATTCTACAGATCACACAATTATGTCTTATACTAAAACAAATATCTACATTCTACTAATAGTTTTCTGTAAAAATGAAGATAACACACATTCTGTCATTACAGTGTTCACTTCAAAGCATGCTGTGTCAGAAATTCTATCAGATCTCAACAGGTCGTATCATTTATCTTGGAGCAGTTTGAGAGTAATCAGCCCGCTGAATTCAGTCTTTGTCCTGAGGAAAACACACGTCTGCCGCCTACAGTAAGCTTTTGTGGCCTAAAAGCAGCTGGTTTAACTGGTTCCACCGGTTCAGGATATGACCCTCTGCCTTCCTCTACCCCTATTATCACTGCGGAAAAAATAAAATCTCTAAAATCTCCATAACTCATGTATTTATATAAAAAAAATATGAATTTCACCATTTATGCGAGCATTAAAGACTATAATCACAAGATAAAGACATTAAATATTTATTTCTTTCTCAGATATTTAGGCATGTAAATTACACAAATACATCTGTACAGACATAAAAGACAAACTACAACAAACCTTCAAAATTAGCTTTTAGCCAACACTGATTTTAATAACTTATTGTAAAGATAATAAAATATGGGCCTAATTATTGCCTGCAGCAAACTCCTACATGGTTACAAATCCGTTAAAATTACAAATATTGAGCTAAAAACAGGTGTAGCTGAGAGTCACAGCTAACAGATCACATGGTCTTTGTTTAAAACGACGCAGCGTGCTATGTGAATGCTAGTTTTTTACTGATTTAGATGAACATAAATCAGTGTTTTATTGTCAAAATAATAGTTTGTCAACAATTCCACATTTATTTTTAAGTGTGAATGACTAAAATTKGCTCTTACAGAGTTTACATGAAGTAGAATTAAAACTATGTTGAAATTATGTCCTGAAACATTCAAATAAATTAGGTTTTATCATTAAAAATATACTAATACAGTGTGAGCCTCCCATGCTAACATCTAACTCTGTGTTAGCATGCTAACAGCTGCTGATAATTTAAAGTACAATTCTTACATGTGAAAAAAACCTCAAACATATGCTGTAAAAAGATTGAAAGAAACAGAAAACAAAGTTATAAACAGTCCTAAACAATTAGCTCTAAACTGTTTTCGCAACTTAGCACAGTTAGCATAATAACATTGTCTATTTTTCTGTGTTAGCATGCTAAAAGCTGCTAATAATAAAAATAAAGTACAATTCTTACATGTGGAAAAAAATTCAAACATGAGCTGTATAAAGATAGAAAGAAACTGAAAATGTTATAAACAATTACCTCTGAACTGTGAACACAGCTTAGCACGCTAACATTAGCATGCTAACATTTGTTTAATTTTCGGTGTTAGCGTGCTAACAGTTGCTAATAAATTAAAATACATTTATGTATGTTTAAAAGCTCAAACACAGATTTTAAAAATATTTAAAGAAACAGAAAAAGCGTCATAAACAGTTAACTCCAAACTGAACACAGCTTAGTTTGCAAATGTTAGCATGCTAATGTTAGCATGCTAATGTTAGCATGCTGATACAAGTAAAGCAGATAACATTGTAGTTTTGGTCATTTTTCAATTATTTATAATTATTTATTTGTTAATTTTGTAAGGATTTAAAAAATATATATAGCAGTTTCTTCTACATATATACAGAGATTCACATTACAGCAGAAATAAATCTGCGTGTTTTATACATAAATAAGTCAAAAGATTTATTAACAGGGCTGATTTGAAAATAACAGCAAATAAAATGATATGCCTGTTCTCAGGGATCCAGCTGTTCAGATTTCCAGAAAAACAAAAAGCAGAAGAGAAGAAAAGTGGAACTCGGACGTTTTACTAGCAGCAAAGATAACGGAAAGAGGAAGAATCAGCCTAGTGTTCGTGGTTCTCGACGCACATAAAGCCAAACTGACACACCAGCTGTTAACACGGAGAATGACGTTTGCAGAGATTTGTTGACCTTTACACAAATAGTGAAGTTGAAAAAGGCACAAAGTGATGCTGAAGGAGGAGAAGCGGCGCGGCGCTGCTCGTAGTTTTCTCCATCCTCTGTGCTGCGTCGTTCTGCTGCATCCTCACTGGAAAATACAAACATGTATAAATAAATATAAATTCCAGAGTAATGATTGATTTTCTTTAGTACTCAACATGTATAGTTGTCTCTTTTAATGTTATAAATAAACAAAACTACCAAAACTGTACAACTTTAAGACTTTAGGGAAATGTTGCCCTCTGGTGGCCATTTGTTTAAATGCACAAATTTTACCTGCAAGGTACTTTATTTCCACTTTTGTACATTTATTGTTTATCTCTTAAATCTCGGTCGATGGGACAGTTTAATAAAAAAAACAAAACACGTTTTTAGAGTTTGTCCAACATTGAGCCGGTTTGTTCTAGATTAATGCTGACATGTTTCCAAAGCTTCAGGTTTAATTTCACCTTTCAGGAAAAAAGATTTGATGTTTTTCTTTGAGAGACAGCTCCTGTGACCTCACACCAGAATATCTGAACCAAACAAACAAGATTACAGTTTTGGTGTGAACATCATAATCATTGTTGGCAATGATTTATTGGTAGGGCTATTTATTGGCAAGAATTTAAAGATTTGATACGGTCAGGATATGATGTATCACTATATATTGCCATATTTACACAAGGCTATATTGGCATTTTTCTCCAAAAGAGTCTAATTTAAAAACTCACTCTAAAGAGCGCACCGTGCACTCTATGCATACAACTTGATTTATTTTTAATTGAGAACGGTATTAGTATTTCCTATTTCCTTTTACGTCCATTTACATCTCTGAAAAATAATTAATCCTTAAAAAGACCAGATTTAATCTGACGAGTCACAACGAGAAGGTGGCTCTAATCAATTTGGTGCCCTAGTCAATATTTCAGTTGGTGTTCTCTTGTGCTATTTTCTAAATGTTACTGCTAATTTACATGAAGTCACGTAAATTAAATAGTTTTGTCTTTGTCTAACTGAAACAATTATAATTAATTTGAAACAAAAAACCTGAAGTCTACCTAATAACTGCCAACATCTGCTGGCAGGAATGATGAACACTGTTCATGTTAACCAGCAGCTGTGGACTGAAGCAGTTCTGGGGGGGTTGAGAAAATTGAAATTTTTAGTAGAAGATTTACTAAAATATCTGCATTTTCCAGCTATTTGAAGAGAAAGTTTACAAAATAGTTTTTTGGATTAAAAAAAAAAACAACATCTGTGGCAAATTGGTCAACCCAAACCAGTTATAGCTCTGCGTAACTTGTCTTTCTTCCAGTTTAGCCCCATCAAAATAAAAGCATGTCTTTGATCAAGTTTGTATTTTTATAAATTGTTTGAAATTAGTCAAACAACAAATAGCAAATACTTTCTCCACCGTATTTTATATGCCAATTTTTGTATCCGTTATTGAAAGATTGTTAAATATTTATTTATTTTTGACGCTCTTAGTTTGAAATTTAGCTGCTAAAGATGCTACAGGCAACAACACATCCAGCACTGTTTGTGAGAGCAGATAGTTATTTAATTCAGGATAAACCGCATAAAAATAGAAGTTTCACACTGTTGAACATTTTAGTGAACTTAAAGCTAACCAATCCGCTAACAGTTTCCAAAGTTAGCAATCCGCTACATTAGATGCTAGTTCCACTATTAGCAGCTTATTAGCACTGTACCCACCACTAACTTTACATAAAATCATAAGTGAACTTCCATTTTCCTTATTGTGTTTTCCACTTCCACTATGAGCAGCAGCAGTTAGTTTCGACTGCATCATGTGATGCTTTTATTCTGAAACATCCTCATGTAGGAACAAAGCAGAACAAGTTCATAAACCTGTGGAACCAGTGATTATTTTTAGACTAAATYTACTAGATTCTGATAAAAAGATTTTTTCCCCTGTCCCCCATTTGTGGCGCCCCCTAGATGGATGGCGCCCTTAGTGTTGGCCTACACTGCCTATGCCACGGGCCGGCCCTGGTACCGGTGCACAAACCCACCAGCCGTGGTCTAAAATCAGTTGATTCAGTGTCCAAACGGAGAAATCCTGGAGGTGAAAACAGGCAGGAACACTTTACCCAATCAGAGACACAGAAGAGTTGAAATATTCCTGCAGTTTCGGACGTCTGCAGGCGTCCCACAGAGCCTGGCTGCTTCCTGCGGGCTCAGAACCAGCTCCGTGTAAGCCCCGGCCAGGATTTGAAGGTTACGTAAGAGGAGAGCRGCAGAACAAATCATGGAGGTTTTTCCTCATGCTGACGGGATTGGAGGTAGCGAGGAAGAGGAGGAAGACTGAGCCGAGTYAGACAGAGAGGACGTCACAGGGTGCCAGTGGGACTTCCTGTCCCCCCCCACACAGAGGAAAGTCCCCGAAGGGTGCATCAGAAAGATGTAATCATGCCATGCACGGGGACGTCTCATGACTCAGCGCTTCCATTTCTGACATGAAGCGTTTTATTAARGAAGCAGAGAGAAGCTGAGCGACAGAAAGATGCAGCTTGTTTAGTTCGATGCTTACATTTAGAAGAGGCACTGAGCTCCAGCTGGGCCGCCTGGATGAGTCTGTGCGAGGCTGAAATCAGTTCACAAGTTAATGTGGCAGGGATTAGAAAAGACTCGTGGAGGTTTATACGAGACTGGACAAGGAATTTATTATTCTTTGGTGAAATTATCCAACAAAATGTCTCAGTGAAATGATGGGGTCGGGACCCCCGGTGGGTCAGTGAGGGTACTGAAGGGTCAGTCAGGACTTTTGTTGTTGTTACGGCTCTTTATTCTGTACGGTTTTCAGCAACTTTTCTTTCCACAATTTTTGTGCTAAATCAACAATTCATGTATCAAAACATTCAGCTCCTTCAGGACACTCCTGCTATGACTTCAGGTATTTCAGCAGTTTATACTTTTTCAGCCGTTTTTGGTCATTTTTGTTCACAATGAAAAATAATAATGAAAAGTTCCTGTTATTATTATTTTCAACATCCTTAAAACCTTTCAAAATGTTCATAAATCTTTACAGCACTTTTCACATCTCACTCTGGTTYGGCTCCTTTGTGCTAATTTCAGCTTTCAGCCTTTTTTTTTAGCCTTTTAAGCCATTTCAAGTGTCTTTCTGCCCTTTTCCACTAACTTCAACCTTTTTGTTCTTTTTATGCTAATTTAAGCCGTTTTCTGCCTTTTAAGCCACTTTAGCTGATTTCAGCTAATTTTAGTTTTTTCTACAAACTTTACATTTTTGTGAGAATTTCAGTTTCTTACTGCTTAAATCAGCAAACATATGGTCTTTCTGCTTCTTTGTGCCAATTTCTCCAGCTTTTTCAGCTACTTTTTAGCTATTTTCATCTCGTTTTAGCGAATTCATAGCTATTTTATCAAACATTGCAACTGTTTTACACTTTAGTTTTTCAGCTAATGTGAACATTTACCTTCTGCCTGCTAAATCTAGCTTGTTTCTGCTATTTTTAGCTACATTTCTGCTCTTTTCAGCCTTTTGGACACATTTTTATAGATTTCATTACTGATTTTCACATCATTTTATTTCTGTTTGCTTTCAGCAAACATCAGCTGTTCAAAGTGAACTCATTAAAAGTTTTGCTGTTAAAAGTTTTCAGCTGCAGCAGTTTTAACTAAAAGTTTACATTTTTTGTGCTTCTATAATTTTCATTCTGCTAATTTTATGTATCTTTCAGCTGTTGTCTGTTATTAAAGCTACTTTTTAACCATTTTCAGCCAATGTTAGCCATTTTTAGATAGATTCAGGTAATTGTGATGATTTTAGCTACTTCTTTCAGCTGCTTAATATAGGAAACATGCTTTTTCAGCTACTTTATAGCTACTTCTCTGCTATTTTGGCTATTTTACAACAAATTGCAACTTTTTGTACGTCGTCTCTTTTTTCAGTAAAAACCTTTCAGCATTAACTGCATTTTCACAGAAAATAAATTCTCTAGTTAGACTTTTTGTTTACATGTTTTTTTTATACATGTTTTCCTTTTTCAGTTACGTCTCCGCATCAAATCCACAGTAAGAAAGTGTTTTATTCAAGCTTGATTATCAGCTACTAGCTGGGTAGCTGTTRGCTTCACCAGAAGTAGATTTTAGCTCGTCCACCTGGACAAGACAAATGTCTTTCAGAGACAAGTTTGACGGTCAAACAAGAAGAATGTTGATCTGGTCAGAGTCGTCGAGGCGAAACATTTGGACCTAAGAGCTGGACGGTTGAAACATGGACACAGTTGGGTCAAACTATCGGCCAATTTCTGTTCTTCCTATTTTTTCTAAGTTACTTGAAAAAACATTATTTAATCAACTACTTCAGCATCTAGAAGCTAATAATATGCTAARCAATAGCCAACATGGTTTCCRCACGTCAAGGTCRACCATGTCTGCATTAATTTTATTCACTGAACAAATACGTGCTGCTTTGAACAAAGGTCMAGTAACTGGTGCTGTATATAWTGATTTTYGTAAAGCGTTTGACACAGTTGATCATTATACTCTCTTACAAAAGTTGATTTCTTTTCAACTTTCATCATCTGCAATACAAATGTTTTCCTCTTATTTGACTGACAGGTGTCAGGTTGTGAAACATGGAAGCTCTGTGTCCGGGTCTCTGTCCTGTTTCATGGGAGTTCCGCAGGGTAGCATACTGGGCCCATTGCTTTTCCTATTATACATAAATGACCTTCCAAAAATATTGAAGTATTCAAATATTTTAATGTATGCTGATGATACTGTTCTTTTTTGTCTGATTTCAATATTGAATCTATTGATAGTCAGTTACAAGCAGATCTTCAGACATTTCATGGTTGGCTTCAAGATAATCTTTTGTCAATTAATATTAAAAAAAACTGTGTGCATGTATTTTTCCTCACTCAGGAGACATTTCAATATAACAAATCAACTCACTTTTTAAACAAACCCCTTGATATTGTCACTACCTACAAATATCTTGGAATTACTTTGGATTCTCATTTGACTTATCGTGATCATGTACAAGTCTTAACCATTAAGTTGAAACTGAAATTATACGTTTATTCAAAAATTAGATCCAATCTGACATCTTCTGTTTCAAATATCTMTCTTCATGCCATTATACTCTCAACCATGTCGTACTGTTTACCTGTTTGGTCTCTTACAACAAATGAAATCTTAGAACCCATAGTTAGGCTCTACAACAGGGCCTACAAAATTCATAAAAAACTTCCTGGTTGGACTCATCACTGTACAGTTCTTTCATTGTCTGATGCCTTGACTTTTCAGAATTATGTTTTGTATAGTGGTATTAATTTATATTTTCAGGTCTTCCAAGGTGCCAATTATGGAACTCTCTGTGCATTGTTGCCCAAATCAAATTCTGGAAGTGGTCATTCAACTAGATCTGTTACAAAAGGACAACTGATATTACCAACTTTTAAAAACTGTTACGGCCAGAGGTCTTTCTTCTATGTTTATACTAAAGCATGGAATGACATTCCTCAAAACATAAAGTCCATTTCAAAACTACAGCCCTTTAAGAAGAATCTTGTCTGCCATCTGCTGGACACTTTTTGTTGTGCTCATATTTAGACGTCCTATTTTGCAAATGCTGCCTTCCTGAAATTTGGTATGCTTGTTTGTCTTTGTGTCTATGGTGTATAATGATGTGATTGTGATGCTGTAATTCTGAGTGTTTTATGTGCTGCAGAACAGGAASCTGCTGTAAAACAGCAATTATGCTGAGTCAGGCTTGATTTTTAATCATCTTTTCCTGTTAAATCAATAAATCAAATCAAACCAAACCAAACCCTAAACACTCATCAGAACTGGATTCTGAATGAACGTATCGGACCAAAACCTAAAGTGAACCCTAACTGGTCCAACCGGTTGGGYTTGTTCCAGAAAAACCCGGGCGGTCCTTCACTCCTGAGGTCCAGATATTACAGGGGCTTACAAATATATTTATCAGTAAGAGTTGATAATGACCAGTCAGCAGAGTTATTGCTGAGTCATGCTTGTATAAAAGTATTCATTTAATGTTTAAATCAGATGTTTGGTAAATGAAACCCGTCCTACCAGGTAAACGTCCAGCTCTGTGTCCGACTGGCTTCTGTTGAGAGACGCCAGAGGAGAGTCCACCGCGATGGTGGAACTGGAGGCTCGTCGTTCCTCACTGCAACACAAAACCAGTGTCGTATAAAGTACCACAAACTGATAGTAAAAGTACAAGTATCTTACCAAAAATTTACTTCTGAGGGCTGCGGCCAAATGTAATAATAATATAATTCATGAAATACAAATACTTCTTAAGTACAGTCCTTTTATTTGAATGATTCTGTCCTGCTGGAGTGTGACATGATTTGTTTGTGTACAAACTAATACACTATCAGAGTTTTATATATTTATACTTCTCATTCAACCACAGTTAAATTCACTCTATAGGAGGCTCAGTTTATATGGATAGTTTTTATTTTTTACAATAACAAGCTGGAATGAAAACAAGCAAAACTTAAAATAAAAGTAACGACTTTCTACTTCTTGTCTTTTTTTAAAAATGTAAGGGGTAGAAATACGCTGAAAAATAATTACTCAAGTAGAAAGATACCCAGAAATTCTWCTTAAGTACAGTAACAAAGTATTTGTACTYGGTAACTTTACAGCTCTGGGGTTCAGAACACGTACCCGTTCTCTGGGTCCTCTTGGACGTCCCTGCTGGACTCGCACGTCAGAGCGGACTGTGGGAGAAGATCCGGTTGTTTGGAGGAGCTGTAAACTGCAGCAGAGAGTCAGGACAAACCAGGAGGCTAAAACTCGACTGAAACAACAGTCTGGTGTTCCTCACAGTTTCCGTCCAGGTTGTCGAGGCTCTGGGTCTTCTTCTTCTCGTCCTTGGCCTCCCACAGCGGGGACAGCACCTCCTGGGACAGGGACTTGGCCTGGCCGGCGTGGAGCGAGCCCCGCCTCCTCCTGGAGGACGCTCCCCTCAGAGCTGCAGGTTCACGGAGAGACCTGGTCACCGGAGAGCCGCCTGAAACACGGCGCTCAGAAACCGAGGGGCGGGACTTACGGTGCAGCTTCTTGAAAACGGTCGTTCCCATGAACTTCAGGAAGCGGTCGGCGTAGAAGTTGGGCCTGTGGACCGAGACCGTGTCCTGAAACAGAACAAACTGAGTCAGAGCTGAGCTATAAAAACCTGCAGGGAGACAGGAAATGATGCAATCTAACGTACCCCGTCATGAACGAGAGCCTTCCAGGAGTGTTCCACTTTCTTTATGAACCTGAGATTAAAAATAAATCATTAAAGGGATCCACGATTAGTTCTAACAATCAATAAACATTTATTTTAACTGTAAAATAAAGACTGTAAAAATCCTGTAAGATGTTCAGTTTTTAGCATTTTTAAAAATATATTTTAACACGGACAGAGCCATTTTATTTACACGCAAAGCATTCTGGGTAAATGA